AGAGTGTGTGTGTGGGGGTGGCGGCGAGGGAAGCAGAGTGTGTGTGTGTGTGTAGTGAGGGAAGCTGTGAGGGAAGCAGAGTGCATGTGTGTGTGCATTCATAGGGCAAACCCCACAAGCACACCCCACTATACATATGCACCTATACCCCCTTGCACTGCCATACATGCAGACCTGCTTACACACACCCCAGCCATTCTCTCCTCTATACATCCCCCCACAAACCCCATACCCCCCACACCCCACAAATCCACACACACACCCACATGCTCCATCACCCCATACAAATCTATACCCCCCCCATACCCCCAACCCCCCCCCACAGTATACAAGAGTAAGACTTCATTTTAAATTGTTGTGCAATCCCCTCTGGGTACACTACACAAACATATGTAAATCAAGACAAAAATATTTTTTGAAATCAAATTAATTAATGTTGTAGATGTTCATTTTTTAGAATAAAATTTGGATTTTTTCTGGTTCTGAGATGGCAAAACCCCTTGCTGAAAGGAATATTTCTGGGGGCAAGGGGAGGGACTTTTGGTGGCAAAGGGCAGGGGCTAGGGGGCAGGACTTCTGGCCCTAAGATGGCAACCAGGGGGCAGAGCGCCTGTCAAGGGGTGGGGCTACCCGTGCAGCCACCCACATGGCCCTCAACAGTTTGCCAAAACTCAGTAAGTGGCCCATCACCTGAAATAATTGCCTGCCCCTGCTCTGGATGCCAGCTCAGGGTCTGGCAGGGAGCACCAGGACAGAAGACGGTTATCTCCTCGCTCCAGGGGGGCTGCCTGCTGCTGGGGCAAGGACAATGTCCCCCTGCCCTGGCAGTAAGGAGCTCCTGGCTGTAGCTCCCCAATTAGAGGCAGGGGATTTGGAAAGAGCTGCAGGGGAGGGGCAGGTCCCAACCCTCTGCCCTGATCCACTGATGGGGCAGCAAGCTAGATGCCCCACCAGCAGACTGGGGTAGGGGGCTGGGACTTACCCTACCCCTGCAGCTCTTTCCAAGCCACGTACCTCAATCACTCGACTGGGGCACAGGGATGGGCCCTGCCCCTGACCAAAACAGTTCCCAGCCCCTGCCCCTGGAGGGGGGCTGAGGAGCTTGTTCTTCCCCCAGCTCCATGAGTATGGGGGCATGGGGGTGGCTGGGGAGCTTGTTTTTCTCTCCCCTTCCCCTAGCTCCATGCTTGTGGAGTTGAGTGGGGAACAGGCTTCCCAGTTGTGATGGCAGAGCTGGGGCTGGGACATAAGGATCTCCCAACCCCTGCTCCCTGATCGTGATCTCAGAACAGGGGGCCCGGAGCTCCCTGCTGCCGGGACAGGGGAACATAGTCCTTGCCTGAGTTCCTGTGATGGAGTCTGCCCCAGCAGCAGACTTTTGCTCCCCGTCAGGCATCTAGACAAGTGCTACAGTTTCGTTACTAATCCCCAGTAAATTTGCTGCTTGCATTTGCAGGTAGCAAATTTACTTGGGATTAGGGAGTTTTGCTGTGTAGTAAGTATATGCACGTGTAGACAAACATGCTTACTTTGAGGTAAGCTATGCTAATGCAAAGTTAAGCATCTTGTGTGGACGTGTCCAGTCTTATACAGATAAAACAGCTTCTGTATTAATAGCTCTGCAGTTTTAGTATCTTGAAGTACCAGCCACTGACTGATGTGCTTCTAACCCTATTTTTACAATGTAAAATGTAGGCCTGTAAGCTTTGGGTATGGTTGATATTTTTGTTACAAAAAATGATTTTTGTTGGAAGACTCTTTGGATGGCTAGAAAACTGGTAGATGCTATAACAAGTGGGTCATCATCCTGGGGCCGGTCCAAACATTGGCCCACCCACTTGTCTAGGGTAGTCTCCCCACCTGCCTTGCCTTTGATATAACTTAAGGTGTTCCCAGGTGGGAGGCTGCCCATTTAATTGCCCTGATGCCAAGGGTGAATACACGGCTCCAAACCTTCCCTTATACCATGCCCCATGCCTTGCAGATGGCATCTCCATCCACTAATACTCCCCTGGCCCCTTAGCTGGGTCGCACTTGGCCTCACCTGGCCTAAACTTGGCCTCAGCCTCCTCAGACGTACCTCGACCTCATGTTCCCCTTGCTGGGGCTTCTCCCCGTGCCCCCACACTGAGACTTCAACACCCAACTCCCTCACTGGGCTTCTACCCTGCCCTTTATTGGGCTGCTGGGCCTAATGCATCTTGAGCCTCAGGCCTCACTCAGTGGGCCTTGGCCCTATGCTTTTCTGTCAGGGTGTGCTCCCCTAGCCTCTCTCTTCCACAGGGTCACCCACAAGGCAGCAGGGGCTGAGGCTTTCCAGTGCTCCATACTCACCTTTCACTGGGAAGGCACAGGTGTGACATTTCCTAGGGACTGCCCTGCCACAAGCAGCCCCACCACACCAACCAACCCCAGCAGGGTGTAGTTTTAGGTCATTTCCCAGGACCAGGAACCTCCTCCATCCCCATAGCTCTTACCCTTGACCTCCAGAGAATTTGGGAGCAGCAAATCTCCAGCTGGGTGATGATGTTCTTTCTTCCCCCTGCAGCAACTGTCCACTCTGCTCTTGGGACCTAGCCTTCTACCCAAGCTCGCAACCTCTTCACCAATCAGGTGGCCTCCTGCCTAACATGTGACCACCTGATTGGGTCTGCGTCCACCAGCTGGCTGCTTGCCACCTGCTCAGACCCCTTTAAGTGGCAGGCAAAACCTGTGTTCTGCCGCAGAAAAACACTACACAAGAAAGGAATTTTGAACGACTGAGAGGGAGTTTAATCAGATGAGTTAAAATGCTTTGGTCATGTCTAGATATGCAGGGGCATGCTCCTGCATGTGCCTTTGTTATGGGACAAATTGCTCTTGCAGCCAGGGAGAGTCCTGCCTGCTGGCCTGGAGCAGCAGGGGCACAAGTCTGGCAGCACGGAGGCCTGGCCAGACGGCCTGACCTCTGCGTGTGCTGTGCCACTTCTTCTGCCTGTTTTTGTTTGTTTGGGGTTTTTTTGCTACTGGAAAATCCCAGTAACATATTTTAAAGTTTGCTACATACAGTGGACGCTGCCACAAAAAGGACGGTGGCACCACAAACCGCATGTGCCCGCACGTTTTGCTGCAGCCTTTAGCTTTTGATAAAACTTATTTAATTCAAACACATTGTGAAAGATGTAATCACTGAGGCTGAAGATTTTTTTAGGGTAGAGAAGACTGTTTTTCACTCTAACAACTTTGCAACAACAACATTCAAAGGCATGGCTATTTCTCAGCTGTATTTAGGCCTTCGGTCCTCTGGAAGCGGAGACAATCTTTTGGTGCTGGGTTTGTATGGTGTCTAGCAAAATGAGAAACATCATCTCTGCTAAACTAGGGACTAAGACTCTTGGCTTACATTACACTCAAGACATGATTAACTAATTAATCATGCCTTAAGTAGTACCCCAGCCACACACTAATGCAATTCATGGCACCACAAAACAACGAATAAACTACAAAGTTATTACACAAAATATGTTTTGTGTAAACATTGTGGCTGGTTCTCATCACACCTTAAACTGCATGTATGACCTGGCATGAGCTGACTGGGGCTCCCATCCTTAGGAGTGCATGAAGTTCCTTGACTCCCATGCACTCCTGAAATTGGGAAAGATGATCAGCTAACTGCCATTCCCAGTCTCAGAGGTGCATCAGAGCCCTTGACTCTGATGCACCCCTGTAAAGGTCAGAAGCCCCTATCAGCTACCACTCTCAACCCCCAATGGCATATCAGATCCAAGAATTCTACCAAGGGCTCCACTGTGCCCTACCGACTGAGAGCTCTGATCAGTTGCCATTCCCAAGAGCAGCTGATCAGGGATCCTAACCCATGGGGGCACATAGAGATAAGGGTTCTGATGTACCACCGAGGTTGGGAGCCGCAATCAGCTAACAGGCTTGCTACTCGCTGTTGTAAGGGATGTCCAGGATCATGGTCCTGGGCTCACTCTGCATCAACAATGTGCTGCAAATGGGATCTGATCCCTGATCCCACAAGTACACCTCCTGCCATGCATGTGTAGCACAGCATGATGCCTTTAATTGAATGTCTGTCAGGGGCCTAAAGTATAAAAACCACTTACGAAAACCCTTGTTCAAGCAGAAAAGGTAACAGGATCAGAACTTTTTTTTTACATATCATAAAAAAGCCCAAAAGAAGGCAAACAAATATTTCCCCTTTGTATGCCCATTTTTAATAATGCAGAGTGAATCCCTTTAACACAAACAAATACATCTATAACTTCAAGAATAAAGTGTTTGTGTCAATGATTTATATTAAGGAAATCTTGATATCACAGTGGCACATCTGAATATAAGAAAAAGAACTGAGTGGCTGGAGCGGTAGAATGGGATTGGACTGAAAGGTGAAAATGCACAAATGATTACTATATTTACATTTAAGCCAAAAGTTGCCTCCTGTTAGTAAAATTTCTACAGAAAATTAAGAAAATAAATACTATATGCAAAAGTTTCATGCTATGCATTTGTTGCGTAGACATAGATTGATCTTGAAATTATTAAATCAATCTTTTTATATTTATTGCAATAATTAAAGAGGCGACAAGAATACTATTCTCATGTTTTTGTTACATAAGCTTTGCATTGGAAGCCTCTTTAAAACAGGCAGAAAGAAAAGACTATAGTGTTCTTCATATAAGTGAATCTTTTATTGTGTACCAGCACCATTCTTTCAAGGTGTGCTGGTCTGAATTATTGCCTACAATGAATCACATATGATAGAGATAAATGGGAAAGAATGTGACTGTGTATATTATTCAGGAAAAAAGCCCCACTGAGTTCAGCTAGGGAAACCAAGAGAGATCCTGGGATGAAAATTCATCTAAATGGTAATAAATGGTAATAACCTTCTTCAAAAAAGGGGAGGGGAGAACTACTATTGTCCTGACAAAACATTAAACTACCCTTAGATGTTTAACTGTGTGCCAGTGAAACAGTATTTATGTAACTTTGATCTTTACTGTTCAACAAGAAGGAGAAAGTGCCCATGATCCCCTGAAATGAAAGAGGAAAAACTCCCTCTCCCCTTAGCCACACTTATGCACGAATTTTCTACCTCTCCTTTTGTGTTCGGGGCCCTCTTTTACCCACTTAACATGTCCTGGAAACCACACCATGTTGACTCACAAAACAGATTTGAAATCAAGCCACAAGAGTAGTCCATGCTTACTTTCTGGCTGTGCTTGGCTTGCCCTGGTCAGACCTGATGAAGAATGTCTTACATTGGAAAACTTGTCTAACTATCCCATCTATGCAGCTGGTCCAGTAAAAGATTTCACCCTAAGAAATCCTTGCCTCTCACACAATTCCTGGTCCATCATAGCTACAACATGACTATTATACTACTTTCTAGCTGTGCATTTGTGATTTGTCAGCTTACCAGAGTTCAGGGAAGAACCGTCTGTCTGACAAAACAGCCAGGCACCTGTGGCCACAGCAATGCACAGGAGGCAGCAGTGACTTCCAGCTGTTGCTGTGCCTCCAGCATCTCTTCTAGGAAACTGCATCCTGACTTCAAGGTAGAATGTGTATGTGGTCAGCCCTAAACTACCTACTCTTTAGGTGAACCCAGACCCACAGATTTTAGGAGCCACGGAGAGAGATGCTCTTGTGGGAAGTGGTGGTCAGGGAAGGGGTAGGAGGCACACAGTAAAGTGCAAGAATCTACAATGCTTTGGACTGACAAGTCAGGATTTCACTCCACAGGTTGGGCAGCCTGGGGCCATCCCTGGGGAAGTTGGCAGACGGGAGCATGGACTCCTTATACCAGGTCTCTGAGGAAGGAGCCAAGGCAGGACAGAAACCTCATGGAGATCTCCCAAGTTCCTTCCATCCCGATGGAGGCAAAGGGGGAAGTTTTCCAAAAGAAGAGAAAATCTTGTGTTTGCAAAGTTGGAGCTCACACCCTGGAAGTCGTGCGTCCTGATTTTTTTCTTTTTCTTCAGTTGTTAAAATTGCTTCTGGAAGGTTTGTTGCTCCCTGCCTGGCATTTATCTGGTGGTTGGGACCAGCGTGTTCACGGACAGGCGTGCAAGGACATCTTACAGAACAGCAAACGTACTCCGCTTGACTCTGGGTGTGAGGTTCAGGCCATCATGCTTAACCTCACCTAAGTCTCATGGGGTGGTCACTGTGGCGGCCAGCCCACCCGGGGCTAACCAGGACCCCCACTTACGTATTACACTTCTTTTTACTGGCGACTGAGATGGAAGGGTAAGATGCAGCTGCTCAAGAGCTCCTTCCTCTGAAGTATCGTCCGGCCAAGGCAAAATATTCTAGGCCCCCCTCAGGAACCGGAGCTAGGAGGAAAGGCTGGTGGCACGTTTCAGCAATTCCTTGGCACCCGCCTCCCCAGGGGAGAAAGGCCTCCGCGCCCACAGCACCGCACCTCAGAGCACAGGGGGTCGCTTGCAAAGGACCCACGAGCGGCTCCCGGGCAGGACAGGGCAGAGGAGCTGCAGGGTCCGGGCCCCGGACGCGGGTGTGGGGCCGCCGCCTGGCGCGGGGCGCGCGGACGCGGAGGTGACAGGACGGGACGGGACGCGACGCGGCGCGGGCTAGTGCCCGGGGGAGGGCGGTGCTAGCTAGACCCTTCCCGCGCCGCAGCGAGAAGACGCCGGCGTCCCGCGGCGGTAAGGGCGGAGTGGGCCGAGGAGGCCCCGTTTCACACCAGACGCCGTAGCTGCAGCCCCGGAGAGGCCGCTGCGGCTGCGCGGGCCG